CTAGCATGATATAATATAGTGTTAACTACGTATTATATGTATAATCTCCAGATTTCTCACATTCCGTAGCGATTTGCTCATTTCCGTCTTGGCTCGTACTGTAATCCCTTTCTCTCCAAATTTCCCGCGAGTGTGTGAACGATCCTTCGCTGCCAGTCACGCGCCCAACGCACGTTCCAACGGAAGGAGCGCGGCGAGGAATCTCGAGCTTAATGTGTTCTCGACCATGTGTTTCGTCGTTGTGCTGTCCTTCTGATTTGTATCGGATGTGATGGAGATTATTGTATTTTGTGCGCGAACGGCAGGAATCGAGGACTAACGATTGTACACGGGCTTCTCGCGATTACGTTAGCGCGCGTTACATGAAACGTATGTAGAGTTTAGTTGCCACGCTAAAGTTACGTTTACGCGTGGAAACGTGAATCCTTGATAACGTTAGCCCTTGTCGATTGTACCTAAGGTATCTCAGAGCTCGCTTGAGATCTTTGTCGATCGAATTCTTAATCCATAGCTACGTATATTTCTTGTATTTTCGTCAATAATAACGGAGAGAGGTTTCGAGACCGCACCAAGTTGATGGAAGAAATAAAAACGATAAAATAGTCTATATTGAAAAATATCAATCGTACGAGAGGAAGAAACTGCTTACTTAAGAATAGCGCACAAGGAAACGGTATCCTCTCTTATATTTCCAAGTGTTTACCATGCCATTTTGTAAATATATACATATATATGTATATATGTATGTGTATGTATATATATATATATATATATATACTTTGTGAAATTAGTTGAAATTTATTACGCCATTACTTTCGAGCTGTCTTTAGCATGATACATCCTAATCACGATCACCAGTGGCAACCAGTTTATCGTTTTTATTTTTGCTGTCTAGCGCGACGCGGCAATTCTGTAGCTCTCGGCATCTCCACGACGCGTCTAAGAGGAAATCTACGCTACAATCTCGCATTCGAGAACTGTAATTCGTTGCGCGTCCATAGAAGCGACGCACTCCCGAAAGAAAGAATAAAAACAAATATATATATATATATATATATATACACACACACACATATATACATACACATATCGCTGCTCTCCCACTGGCTTACGTTTACGTAAGTGAACGTACGAACATAGCGCGAACATTGCAAGCTCGGTCGGTTCAAGCGTCCGATGCAACGACTGCGTTGCATCTTACTTTCGTTGTAGATTTGCCGGCTAATTGTTCTCCGCTAACTTTTGTATCATAGACAAGCGACATATCTTTGTACGAGAGACATAATATCGAGACTCCGAAGTCCATAGTGAGATTCGTAGTCGGCGAAGACAAAGATGCGAAGCAAGATCGCGAAAATATCGGGAGTACGCGAGTTCACTCCGCGGCATCGACGCACAGTGTTGCGCATCGCCCGCTTTCGTGGAAAACAAAAGGCATTTTGTTTTGTGAAATACAAAACAGTAAATTTCTTTTTGCAGAAATTAAAACTATAGAGTCTGAAGTATAAGAAAAAGTATAAGAAGAATTTCTGATCGAATAGTGGCTTAAGAGTTCGAGAAACGTGATCGCATAGAAAGAATTATTTTATGAGTAGAATCGTACATATATTAAAGACTCATATTCTTCACGTAACTAAATATTAGAGAGTTGAATTTATAAATTAAAATTAACTATATACTGCTCTTTTAATAAGCTAATAATGGTTCTCGTATGTTTCGATACTATTTATGTACGCACCATAATTCAAATTAGTGACAAATTTCTTATAAAGGAACAGAAATATTGAGATAAATCACGTCCATTGCATTCCATTGTGTCCATTTTTATATATGTATAACATGAGCTATAAGTGTTATTTACATGAGAATTGGATATACTGCGCAAGTGTGCGCCTAAGCAATTTCGAAGCAAAAAACTACAGCCAGAATGCATGCCGAACATGAGTGTTAACGGCTCAACTTATTCATTTACGTTTGTGTGTTAAGTGAGCGGATTTCCATCGTATGACAAATATAATTAAAATAAAATAAGGGTGTTTAAAATTTTATACACGTATAGGGTGAGTCACTTTAAGTGACGGCAATGATTTTTTTTCGAAAACCCAGTTGTATCAAAAAACGTTTCATACAAATGTTTTATGATTTCAAGAGGAACATAAAATGATGCCATTGGTTTGACTTGAGTGTACCTGCCAAGGTCATACAGAGGTTAATTTTTTTTTTAATAAAACCCCCTATTTTTTATTGCGTATTCTTATAGCTCTTTTTAAGACCTTTTCAAAACAGTCATACTTGTTACTTCTTATCAATATTTACTTTTCTTATTGCCACATTTTTGTTACCAATATTACAATAGCATATAACATTATTATATATGAGTAATTTGGATATTTATTATTAGCTTAATAAATAGCTTAATTAATTATAGATATTTATTATTTTCTTAAATCAAGATCAAAATCTCTAGCTTGACTCAGTCAATATCTTTTGATATTTCTAA